CCTTCCCACCCAGGGACCCCCGTGTCATTATTCTTATAGCTTGGGTTTTTAAATGAGCCGGTCCCAGCGGGAGGGACGCGCAGGTTAAGGTGGAGGAACAGCCCCCTCGGCTTGGCCCGGCCCGGCTCTGCCCGGGTTTGGCTATTTCAGAGCTGTTTTGCTATTCAGGAGCTTCTGGAAATCCAGTGGTTTGTTGTGCTGGGTGACTGCAGGGAGGCTGTATCCTTGCGCTAGCAGCTGGAGCAGGAAGCTTCCCAGGAATTTGTTGTTCCTCCTGCAGGGAGCTCTGTTTATCTGTATTTATCTCATCTGGAATAAAGGGTGAGACAGTTGAATCCTGCTTGACCCACTTTGGTCCTTGCTGCTTCTGAGAGTTTGATTTTTCCAATTACAAAAGATGCTGAATTCAGTTGTTCTGTGAAAACTTAAAAAAAAAACCAAACACAAAACCAAAATGTAACGTGGTCAGCTGGAAATGATTAACCAGGCTGAAAGAGGAAGGTGATGTTTCCTTGGGAGACTGAAGAGGAGGTCTCTTCATGTATTTTTCAGGCAAGAAGGAAAAGACCTCTGACCGGCCCAGTTCAGCAATTTCAGAAGAGCCTGAGCCTGAGCCTGAACCTGAGCCCAAGCCTGATCCGAATGTTCTGCAAGGAGAGGATATCCAGGCACTTGCAATTAAGGTGGAGGACCTGGAGAAAGTATGTATTTCCACTGGGTGAAAAAGCTGCCTTAACTGACACACTCTTTTTATGTGTTTAACAGAGGGTGCAGCCCATTTACTTAAGCCAAAACTCACTCTTGCAGTTGAGTTCTTACTCCATTTTGTCTGTCGTGCTCTTTATCATGATAAAATGTCACATCATTAGGTGCAATGGCAAAAAATAAAGAATTATCAGTCTTTACACAGCACTTTCAACTGGAAGGATAAATCATCTGCCTCTCCAACTTCATGGTCTCATAAGACCTGTAAGTTGTTTAGTAGCTTTCATGGCTTTCCTTCCAAAACTTGAGTCACACTGTGTGAGTGGAAGCATTTAACATCGAGTGACACAGCAGCAGAAATCTCTTGGGAAAGTGATTTAAAACTCTCCTTTCCCTGCCCCTGTTATAAACCAGAGTTTAGAGGAATGAGACAGCAACTGAGCTGGTATTTCTGCAGCTGCATAACGTGCCTCATAGGGGAGGAATCAGAGAATCATAGAATGGTTTGAGTTGGCAGGGACCTTAAAGATCATCTCATTCCACCCACCTGCCATGGGCAGGGACACCTTCCCACTATCCCAGTCTGCTCCAAGCCCCGTCCAACCTGGTCTTGCACACTTCCAGGGATGGGGCAGCCACAGCTTCTCTGAGCAACCTGTGCCAGGGCCTCACCACCCTCACAGGGAAGGATTTCTTCCTGATATCTAATCTAAACCTATGCTTTTAGTTTGAATCCATTCCACCTTGTCATGTCACTCCAGGCTCTTGTGAAAAGTCCCTTTCCAGGTCTCTTACAGTAACTGTACTGATATGACCTTTGCATATCCTATAAAAGCATCAGATGGATTAAAGGTGAGTCAGTGTGTACCTAACTGCACTGTTACTGTTTATTTCCTGCAGGTTCATGCTCCACGCCTTCCCCATGATGCCGGGAGAATTCCAGTTAGGAAGAATTACCTCGTTCGAAAATACCTACCCAAGGAGGTGACATATCTTGTAGCACATCCCGCTTCCCCCAAGGCACCCAGGCAACCACTGACTTTTCCTGGTAGGGTTCAACTTCACATCTCATCTCTGGGTTTTGGTTTTGCTAAGCCAAATTTTAGTGACCTGGCTCTGGGGCTGGGTATTTTTTTGTGTGTGTGTGTTGTAGGACCAAAAGAGTTTGCTGATGGCTGCGAAGAGATTCTCCCTCATCACATTTTGGGAAGTGTCCAGGAGTTTAAGATGGAAGTCTGGGCCAGAAGAAGCACTCGGGTTAGTTTGTAAAGTTAGGAAAATGCTGCTATGTGTCACTTTTCCAGAGGTGGAGCGTGGTGCCAGCAGTACCTTTCGATGCTTTCCAGCACCTATCAGGAGCAGGTCAGGGCTGAGGTGTGGTTTTCCCAGCCTCGTCACACTCTGCAGGGAGGGTTTGCCATCAGAGAAACTGCACCAGCAGGTTTTGGAGTGCTGTGTGCAGGACCAGGTCATGGAGGGAACAATTACACAGGCTTCCTCTTCCCTCTGTGCTCTTGTGTTGGCATCAGGGAAGAGCTAGTGTTGCAGCAATGGCATTACTGGAGTCTAATTACTCAGATAAATCCTTCCGTTGTCTCTTGAGTGTGTTCCTACTGCCCTGCTTTTGTTCCTCTCAGAGTGCTAATGTAAAAGTACAGTCAATCAGAATAACTCTTTTCTCCTGCCCTCTCCCATTCTTGTTTTGGTGTGCATGAAGAGGTTCATTTAGTGCTTCCTTTCTCATCAGAAAGCAGATGTTATTGAGGTTCCTCGTCCGGATGTTACTGCAGCAGCTTTGAAAGAGAAGCATGGAGGAGAGAAGAAGCAAAAGGCTCCTCAGGCCCAACTAGCAGGGCACAGAGCTCTCCAGAACTGGAGCCATCATATGGCAATCAGGAAAAAGCAGGAGAAACACCTAGGAGGTGAGACAAAGCTGCAGAGGCCTCCTTCTGTAAAATTCTGTGTGTAGGTGAGGGAGTTTGATGTCCCCACACCAAACTGCAGTGGTTATCACCTACCAGGGTTAATCCTGTTGCCATTGCAGTCTAATTCCATGTTCTCAGAGCTCCCACATGTGCTAGTGGCTGTGGATGTGGTGGGAGGGTGAGCTGGTGGCTCTGGCTGGGGCAAGGACAGTGGATTTGGCAGGGGCCAGTGTAAATGGGTTACAGGTGAACAACAATAGTGTCAAAGGGTGTGCCCAGAGGTGCAGCACCGATGATGCGACATTTCCTCTTTACAGAAATTCTTCAGAAGCCAGAGAATGAATTGATGATGAACATCTCGGAGAATTACAGGCAAGTCATGGAAGAAAGGGACCTCATTGACCGGAGTCTCCCCTACCTCCATCCTGGAAAGGTGAGAGCCCCACATCCTGTCTGTTCTGAATGTGCTGCTCTTGTGAAACAGCACAGACACTGGTGTGATGAGTAACATCCCTGAAGAGCTGTCAGTAGGTATTTATCAAAGCCACTCTTGAGTCCTTCAGCCTGGTGTCTGAGCAGAGCTTTCAGGGATTTTAAAAATAAAACCAGGAACTGTGCTATCCATACTATTCAGAGGAAAGTGGGGATGAGCAAGTGCCATTTCTGGGCTCTTAACAAAGACTGTCCTGCCCAGGGAAGTGACATGGGAACATGTCACAATTGCTGTTCCAGGGGGCAGAGAGATCTGATTGATTCAGGCTTGGATTTTAGTGATTGCCAAGGAGAAAGGGGTATGGGCAAGGCAGGAGGATTATGGGAGGATCCTGTGTTAAAATAATTTTTTTACATTTATAGCACTGTCAAAGAATTTGCATTTGTGTGAGGCTTTATTTTAAAATCGCTCAACCTTCACGTAGCACTAGGTAGAAGAAAGTTCTTTTGTCTTTGACAGCAGCCTGATAGAAATTTTGGCTTGCTCTGCAGAAAGGGATAATTCATAGACTATTAAAATGTTCATATAGGCAGGATCGGATCCTTTCTAGTCCCTATGAAAATAGCAGGTAGCTGTGCAACTCTGTGTCAGTGGGAGCCTTGTTTTCCACCACAGGGATTCCGAGTAGGAAGCGAGTTCTGGAGCCAGCCCGACCGTATTGGAGATGAACTCACCGGCCTGACGCTGACACTGACTCGGACAGAACGTGGGGACCGAGAGCCAATCACTCATGTGGGCAAACCCTGCACTGTCCAGAAGGAAACGGGTAAGGGAGCACTGCAGAGGTGTTTCCACAGAAATGGGCCACAGGTGTGGAGGGAGCAGCTGCTTCCCAGTCATCTGTTGAGCCTCCTCTTTAAAACTCCGTGAGGCCTAAATTTGGCAGAGAGTGAAATTTAATAGGCACGTGAGTATGTAGAGAGTGAGCTCTTGTGTGGGTATTTCCACAGCTCTGAAGCCCCCAACGAAGATTCCTTACCATCTAACCTGGGATAAGAGTCTTTTCCTGAAACATCGGCGGCAGGAGCTGAAATCTGTCCTGGAGGAGCTGGGTTTTTATAAGCCGGTAAGACCAGAGGAGCAGGGACATTCTTTGTGTCTCTTGTTACTTGTCAGTAGAGTAACATAAAATTGCCAAGAACTGGGTCTGAAAAAGCATTAGGAGTCTAAAACTTAGCCCCACAGTACTTTTCTTGGAAGTTCTGACATTTCCAGAGGGCCACACCCATGAAGGAGTTGTCTGGCCTCCCAAAGTGTTGCGTGGAGTGGTCTAGGTGCCTCAGAATAGGACCCCAAACCAGCAGCATGAAGCTGCCAGGACCTAGGCCATGAAAAAACCAGCCAAATAGTGGTGTAGGACTTTGATTTAGTGCCCTGGGACAGAGGGAAGACATGTTACCCATGTGGAAAACACACATCTAAAATAATCTGAAGGCAGGTAGTCCCTCCTCCTAAAAACAGAATAAACCTCACTTTTTTTGTCTTTGAAACCTGTCTCTGGGGATGAGAAATGTGTGCGAGGGAGACTTTTCCCATTCACAGATGATTTGTAGTGGGGAATGCAGTCATCTAGGATTCTTGGGAAACTCAGAATTGGTTCCTTCCTGAGTCTCTTGAGCATTCTTTGTATACCTCTAAAAACCATTGTAGGAGCAAGATACTTCAACTTCACTTTCCTTGACTGAGTCGGTGCATTTGGCTGGTATTATAATTTCCTTTCTATATAAAAAAAGAAACCCTGAGTTGGTCATTTTTGTGTATGTCCAGGATCTGGAAGGACTGGAGCTGATTGGTAAAGGGCAGCCATTCACGTCTGTCTCAGCAGAGGCTTCTCCATGTTCCACTTCTCCATGTTCCACTCCTTCTGAAGAGACTGAGTAAGCTTTACTTCTTGGCAGAAGTAAAGAGTTTTGGATATGTACCACCAGTCTGTAAAGGTACCCTTAGCTGTTTTTAACCAGAACAGAGAGGAACCTCCAGTGGGCACAACAAAAGGCATATTTTAATATAATCACCAGATTTAGAAATCTTTTTGCCTTGAGGCCTTGTGTCTAAGGAGCAAGGCTCCGTCCTTAAGGAGAGGAGTGTGTGGAAAAGCGTTAGTTGGGATTATTTCTTACAGGGTCTTGTAAATTATCCCTGGTTCTCTCCTCTCTGAAAGTGAATTTTACTCCATGAAAATGCTGGCTCTTGTTTTCTGTAGCAGTGACTCCTGCGACGTGGCTCCAGAAGAAGAAAAGCATCTATCTTTAGTTTTCTGTGGCAAGCCTGCTCGTTGGATCAAGGGCATCACTTCTTGCAGGGTAATTGTGAGATTTTAATTGTTTAGTCAAACTAAGCCTGTGTGAGTTCCCAAGTCACGGCTGTACAATGGGTGTCACTCCCAGGCCACAGAATGGGGAATTTATTCTGAACATAATAGAGTATCCCTCTGTTTGCTCTGGAGAGATGTAGGGACAGAAGGGGTTGCTCTGGCTGTGGTGTGAGCTTAGATTGCCAGGCTCTCTCTGTATAATGACCACCTCACTGGACCTGCCTTACAAGTTCTGCTGAGGTTCAACCCCTTATTTGAGCTATGACTTCATGCAGGATAAATCCTGCCAGATAGAGCAGAAATTGTTATCTTTCTCCTCTTCATTGCAGAATGAAATTGGTGTTGCTGCCCGGCTCACCTTCGAGACTCTGGCTGGTGAGGAGGCCGAAAGCTTCCTGACGGTGAGCAATGATGGCACAGCTGCCATCTGGTACAGCTGGATGAGGCTGCCCCAGCAGATTCCCTCCAGAGAAACCAAGGGGAGGAGGATGCCATGTTTTTACTTTGATACCAGACCAGGTACGAGACCTTTGTACCTCAGCCAGAGAGCAGGTATTCAGGAGTTTCCTGAGATGTGGAGTCTGACTAATGGCACAGCACTGCTGGGTGATTCTCCTGAGGAAGCTCCTGGGTGTCAGAGCTGACTCACCCCAAAAGAGCTGTGCAAGGCAGATCCCTCTCATGAAACCTAAAGGAAAGGAGGTTGCTCCTACTCTGAGTGCAAATGGGCAGAATATTGAGAAGTGAATAATTCTCTGATGGCAAATGGACCATCATCTGCTGGAGAACTGAGCTTGCTGTAGAAGGAGCATGTAGTGGAAATAACACCAGTTCAGTAGCATGGGGACTGGGAGTAAATCTGGAAGGAGAAGAGTAGCTGGATGAAGTGTGATAACCAGCTAAACTATGGTGAAAGAGTCTCCTACAGAGACAGGGACACTTGGGGTGAGGTTGGAAAAGGGTCAAGTTAACCAGGTGGCTTCTTGCAGACCGATGCATTTTCTCTCTTATTTCAGGTGTAATTTTGCCTGGAGAAACTCGGAGGTTTTCCTTTCTTTTCAAGTCAAGGAGAGCAGGCATTTTCAGTGAGCCCTGGGAATTTAGGACACATCCTCTGTTATTAGGAGGAGCTCTGCTGCAGGTGACCCTTTGGGGAATTGCTGTGTATGAGGATAAATTGGCTGACTTCAGAGAGAATCTGGAGGTAACCAAGCATGTGACTGGGTAACCGTGAGCTTTGAACTTTATATGCAAATAGAGGATAAGGGTGGGAGTGAACAACTGGTATTTTTATTGCTGTGTAATTAGGGCTGGGAGTGAGATGATTTACAGAAGGTCTGTACATACTTGAGCAGGTTTGCTAAATAACATGGGGGAACTTTGCAGTCTTTTGTAATGTTGTTACTAAAGACATGATTGTGTCTCCTAAAGTGTTCACGCTGGCCCTTTAAAAATGAATTTTCTGTTGGTAATTAATTTCATTAGTTACTTAGTGGAGATGGGATTGTGTGTTGTACGCTATGATAATTTAAGGTATAAAATGAAAATTACACTACGCTTTGAAAAGCATAGTTTGAGGGAGGATTTGTAGGGTTTGTTTGAAAAGCTGTTGGCAGTACTGCTGTGCTCAGCGGGGTTTGCAGTTATTCTTGTCCTTGTAACCCTGTGTAATATATGCGTGTGGTTACTGCCGTGGGAGTGAATTTGTTTGTGTGTTTGTATGTGGAATGGGGACTCACACATGCTGTTCTCGTTGTGGTGCCTCAGAGTGACCTGGCTGCTCGAGAAGGTGCTGCTATAGTCAAAGACAATCTCAGTGAACTTCTTGACCAAGTTCGGACCCCAGAGCGCACCCCATCTCCTGCCTATGCCACTGAGGAAGAGTTGTTCCACAGGAAGAACCCCGGGGTGATGTTTGCTATTTGATGGGTAACTGAAGTAACAGGGAGGGCAGATCCGTGGGGCTGGTGCATCCCTGGGTTTCTGGAGCTGGCAGAATCTGCCATGGAGGCTTTAACAGTTGGGTTTGAAGAGGAAAGGCAAAACTCATGTCTGTTTACTTTTTCCCTGTTATCACAGTTTTATTATCAGTATCAAGTGGTAAAGCAGCTGCACAAACTATGGAGACAGTACATGACTGTGCCTTCAGCCTTCGAGGAGAAAGTGCCCTCAGACCAGAGGAGCACTGCAGAGGAGGACACGGAGTACCAGGAGAGCACTGTGGAGCCTCTCCCTGCTCAGAGCAGCACCACGGAGCTCCCAGGTGGGAAGAAATCACTAGAGGAGGCTCCGAGGCAAAAGATGAGCATTGAGGAGGAAGAAGCAGGCCCATCAGGATGGAACCTTTCCCTTGAGGACTTTAAACAGGTAGTCACCTCTGTTCCCACTGATGCTGTGACAAGCTGATGGTGTTTTTGTTTCCCTTCAAACAGCCCAGCCTGCCCCAGTGTGGAGCCCACCCAAAGGTCTGCTGCCTATGTACTGGGAGTTAGAGATGATTTATGATGTGTATTGGCTCTGCTGACCACACCCTCAGTGCTCTTGTAAAGAGATTCCCAAGAGAGACTTTGTGGGCTGTTGTGTGAAGAAGAAAAGAGAACCAGACAACATAATAGATATTTTAAGCTCTTCCCCCGTTAGCTTTCTGTCATCCCAGGACTGAATGCGGGGGGCAGGCTAGTCTTACAGCCTCCCGTGGCTCCCCTAAGGGCTCCTTGCCTTGGAGAGTCCTTCCTATTCATCAGAGAACTAAGGGGGCACTCATGACAGGCTGTGGATAAAGTACAGACCTCCCTAGATTAAAGCAAGAGTGGTTTGGATTCTGTCAGCGGTTTTTCTGTAGTGCTCTCTTGGAAATCTCTCTGCTTCTTTTATAACTAAGCTTTACTTGGGAGCCTTGCAGCTCGCTAGGATCCCTGTTCCCCAGCACACCTGTGAAGTTGCAAAGGGGCTTACTGTCAGTCTGATGGGGGAATCTGGGATTGTTCCCTGGATCTTGGGGACCTTGGCCAAATCCCAGCCCTATAGGAAGCCACATGTGTAAGTGCCCAGTGCAGCCTGGTTTCAGGCTGGTGTCCAGGGAGAGAGCCATGGTGGTTCCATCGAGCTCAGGGCCCATGGACTGGGAATGAACCCTGAGAAGTGCTCCACACACCCTCTGTCTTTTCTCTCACAGGCCATAATGTCAATCCCTGGGGAAGAGCAGCGGGAAGAAGCACTGACCCAGCTCAATAAGGCAGCTCTGGAGCTGTGTGTTGAACAGAGGCCAGTTCAGTCAGACCTTCTGTATCCACTCTGGTGTGTTCCTTTGCAAGGAAAAAGCTTGTGAAAGCACTGTGTGATCAACAGCCTCAGCGAGCTCTGTTGCAAGTGTTGTGATTCAGAGTGCAGATAATTATATGAGGTCTAGAAGTCATCTTTACACTCTAGTTTTTTTATAGCTTAATTGTAGCAGCTGTCTAGGACCCAAATGCCTTTTTTTTTTTCCTTCTGGAGATAAGTTTAGAATATTAAATGCATGTAATTTTGGAGAGTGTACAAGATTATTTCTGGCAAGGTTATTCTAGTCTGTATTTAGGAAACCTTTGGGTATTTTCTGTACCCTTTTACTCAGATAACTGTCTCCTCCCTCATACAGTCTCTCTGTTCTTTGCTCAAGCTTTCAGATTGTAAACATATCAACAGCTTCTCATTGCTTCTAAATTAGAAGGATGCAGGTTCCTCTTGGTAAACACAGAGCAGGTTGATGCTGATTTATCAGTGTGTGTCATGTTGAGGAGCAGACCTAGTTTCACAGTAATATTTATGGGTCCCTGTGAGCCTGTTGATTTGCAAACCTTTGAGACCTTGGAGGGATCTAACGTGAGGAAGGCAGCTTAGCATCTCTCTGCACAGATATTTAGACTGTGGGTGTTGTTTTGTTGGTTTAGTTGTATAGAGCAGCTCTCAGCTGTAAGGTGCCTTTACTTCTGGGCATAGGGTTAAAACAAGGTGGCAATTGCTGCACTGTCTCCCTTCTGATCCTGATCCTTTTCTCAGCCTCCAGCTGTGGCGGGGAGCAGTTGATGATATGGTGAGTCACGCTCTGAGGCTGAGATCCCTGTATGGCTTGCTTAAGAAGGACACCTATGCAGATGCTGTTCCAGAGGAAACAGGTAAATGGTAGTTTTAGCACAGCAACTGCTTTCTGTGGACTGTTGGAAATCCAGAAAACGTGATGAATTTCGACCGAAATTTCAATTTCAGCAGGTCCCCCTCAAAGCTTTTATAAGAAAATGCATCAGAAAAAAAAGGCAGATTGTGTGACAGTCACAGTACTAATTGTGATCTGTGGTTTGGCATCAGTAAAAAACCACCTCACAAAAAAGCCTTTTAATTCAGCTACGTGTAGCTGTGGTTTTCACACAGACTGACCCAGCAAACACTGCCTTACTATTAGCTGTCTTACAGGCTTGTTCTGATACACATCTGAGACCTCTTCATTCCTTATTTAAACAAAGTACTCTTCAAGGTATTGTTTTTCAGTGCAGTACAGCTCAGATTAATAAAAAGAGGGAAGTACATTGCAAAAGTAATACACTCTCACTGTGTTAGTGCAGTGGGCTGGTCTTTCTGGATGTGTGGATGCTTTTGGGTAACTGAAATTCTTTCTTTGGTAGAGGAAGTAAAGCAAGGAGGAGAAAAAAAAGGAGGAAAGGAAGACAAAATAGCCACTAAGAAAGAAGAGAAAAAGGATAAAGAACGCAAAAAAAGCAGAGCAACACCAGGGAAAGAGAAAGTGGTATGTGTTGGGATGCCTGGTGAGCCCTGAGTGCAGGGGACAGTGTGAACAATTCTGAGGTTGTGTATCCTGAGTTTGAGCCGATTTCTAACCCAGTGGAAGAGGTGCTGCTCCTGGGAGGTGCATCTTGCAACAATCTGAGCGGTGTTCTGACCCAAGTCCCTTTTTTTCTTGGTCTGTCCCTGATTAGGAACATCAGGGCAGCAAAAAGCTGAAAGCGAAAGATGAGAAGCGGACACCTTCCATTGCATCAGTGAAGGTGAAAGAGGGAGCAGAGCCCCCAAAAGCAAAAGATGAGAAGCGGGCATCTGCTGCTTCATCACTGAAGGAGAAAGAGGGAGCTGTAACTACAGAGGGAGTAGAACCTCCTCAGGAGCAGGTGGACTCTGTTTCATTTGGAATATACCAGGAAAAACTCTATATTGAAGTGAGTCTGACCAAAGCTTGTATTTGTTGGGTTTTGTCCTTTTCTTGGGGTTGTTCTTTGCTTGTAAGTTACATTGAGGCTCAGGAGGAGAGGTAAACATTTTTTTAAACTCAGAAGACTGACAGACATATGTCCCTCATGCTGCAGCAAGGTAAGTGTGAAATCCAGATTAAGATGCCCTCTATTCCAGCCTGGAATCCGTTAGAAGAAATCCAGCCATCACATAGCCACATGCGGGACTTCTATCTGGGATGTCTTCAGCATGCTTGTGGACTCTTGAGGGATCAGCTGAATTAATTGTACCTCAGATAATGTTAAACACACTTCATAGCCAGAGAAGTTATTACTAGAGCTCTGTTAGCAGGCTGCCACTTCTGTGTGGTTGTGTGTGTGCCCATATGGTAATGTACTCCAGTGTGAGAAACCATCTCTGTCAGTCTCATCCTCAGGGTTTCTTTGTGTGTTTTCACTGCAACTGTCTTCTCTTGATTTCTGCTGCAGGTTTACAAGCTACTGGATTCAATGGTGAGTGAAATGGTGTCTTTATTTGAGGATCTAAAGCAATAACGTGCTCTGCAGTGGGAGAGCTGAAACCCTTTGCATGTAGAAATAGCTTTAAAAAAATAAATAAATAACCATATTTACACAGATTGAGTGGCAATTCTTTCTGAAGTGATTCAGTGATTACAAATACTGGGCTGCCTCTTTTCTGACATGCTGTGATGTGGGACTGTTGCTGGATCATCTGTTACTGCTACAGATGATCGCTTGCCAAGAAGAGACAAGGCAAGAAATATCACTGCTTCAGAAAACGTTAGGACTAGAAAATACTGGCATTTCTGCTAAGGAAGAAGAATTTAAAAGTGCCAGTCAACATGAGATGCGTTCTTTGTTTGTCGATTGCGCTCGGATGCAGGTGAGTGAGCAGGGTGTCCCTTTGTACTCAAGAGCACCAGTACAAAAAAAGTAACTTAGACAAATCCATCCCATTTTTGATCATGTTCTTGGCTGCTTGTCCAGTCTCCCCCTGGGAATGGCTGACAGCAGGCTTCTCTGAGGCATTCTGGATCCCAGTAAAAGCACTATCCCAAGGGATGTGCCAACCTGCCTGGTTTTGTATCCATGAATTTCCATCTTGTGCTGATCTTGCCATTTTTTCCATCCAGCTCAAGGTACCCATGACCCGTTGTGAGCCAGATCTTACTTGTTTCCTTCCAAGTCTAATCACTCTTGAATTAAATGAGTGAAATTTGTGCTATAAATGTGAGCATGGTAAGGCCTCGTGTTAGAGCCACCCCTCCTGTCTGTGCGTCTGGGCTCATCACTGGTCTGGGTTTTCCTTCTGCATCACAGCTGGAATAGAGCTTTTTGTAGAGGCATCTCAGGCCTGAGTGTGGCATGCTGGGCTTCAGTGGGAGCAGGTTCTCAAGGCAGAGTGAGCTGGTTGTGGGGTCTGTCGTGACCTGGCATTGAGAGACCTGTGTCATGCTGGTAAAAGTGCCACCTTCCTGCCAAAGCGGCTGGACAGCATTCCCGGGAAAGGCTTTGGCCCTGTAGAGCAATGACATCAGCGTAGATCATTAATTGAGGTTTGTGATACCTCTGGAGTTCTTAGGCAGCAGATGCATATCCGTGCTGAGCACTGCTGTTACGAACTGTGCGCGTCACTGCGCGGTGGCACCGGGCGTGTGTGCCTCGGGCACGTGCTCCTGTCCTTTGGCAGCCACACTGACACAGTCTGGAGCTGCACAGAGCGTGAAATAACTGTGCCTTCTGCAGAATTGGTGTCTTTTGCTTTCTCATTTTAACTCCTGTGCTGTCTGAGGAGAGAATATATTCTTCCTCTTGGCTCCTGGCAGTACCATGGCAAAGCACAGCTTATTTTTTTCGCTGGCCAGGTGAAGCCCCTCATGTTTTGAGATGTTTTCTCTTATTGGAGTGTGGGGAAGCATTTTGGCTTCTGTGGCAGCGGGAGCCTTCTCTGGCTTAGCGGGCACAGACCCACAAAGGGAATGTCTCTGCTCAGCATTCCTGGAGTGAGAATTTCAGCAACATTTTGAGAATTAGGAGGAAAAAGGCCTGAAGTTGGGGTGTGTCTCACAGGCTCTGACAATAGCTCCTGCCTCCCTGGAGATGATTATCAGCTTGTGAATCTGCCCAACTCAAACTGCTCAAGCCATCTGTTGCTAGATGAGAGGGAGTCTGCACGTTCTAGAGGCAACGTGATTGTCTCGGAGGCAGGAATCCTTTCATGTGGTAGCTTTATGTTAAGGGATGGCAAAACCCATCCATGTCGCCATGGATCCGTGTCTCCATGGATCCATAGCTCCGGTCCAGCCTATGGAAACCAGGCTCCATGTATTATTCTACCCACAGGAAAATCTGTTAATATGACACCAGATAGATGGGAGTTTTACATCAGTCACATACGATGGAAGAAATGTCCTGTGCTGCCGTCTCCTTCCCTTCCATGGGAGGAGCCTGGTGGCACAGGGCAGGGGGGTGGTGTAAGAGCTCTGCAAAGGAGAACAAACCTGTGAACAGTCTAATTTTTTGTCATAATTTTTGTCATAAATATTGTCAGTGCCTCTTTCAGCCTTGGACAAGAGTGTCCTCAGGGGACAAGGTACAAGCAGCACGCAGGAAGGGATGTGTGGGCCAACAACTGTGATACTCTGCTGTCTGGCTGCTGCAGCTTTCTCTAAGCCAGCTGGTTTGTTTTTTTTTTTTCCTTTTGCATTGATTTGTGGAAGTTACATGACAGGAACTGCAGTGGAATTAGAGCTGCCTTCCACAGAACAGCTTTAGAAATATGTACCCTCATTACAGGCCCAGTGTGAGACGTGGGCTCTGTCACCAGTGCAGGGACCCTCAGGGCTGTCAGCCCTGTGCTCTGAAGGACCCTGTAAGGCCAAGCCCTTGCAGCCAGGCAAGGAGAGTATTCCTTCTCCTCTCCCAGACGTGGGCATTATTTGTATTAGTGTTAATAATTTGTGTTGTGTTTGCTAAATAACCGAGGTGAGGTGAGCGACCTTCCTGGCCTTGGGAGTTGCATACCAAACCCAGCACGTGAGTGGGGGCCTGAAGACATCATCACTCCACCAGAGAGCCTGGGAAGAGGGGGAGTTCTAGGAAAATGCTGCAAGCAGAAGGTGACAGTGCATTTCTC